AGCGAATAATAAGAATTGCGATAATTGAAAGAATATTTGAGAATCTCCTCTTCTTTTATTCCGTATTGAACCACAAGTGCTTCAACCGCCCGCACGGCAATTTCCTGTCCAGCTTCGTCCTTACGCGACAGTAGATCGTACACCACGTTTTTCCATAATCCCACTATTTCTTCTGTCACGGGCCATCCAGCTTTAGCCAAACATGCGATATAAGTGGACGCCGCTTGAACTGTAACCTCTGAGCCGAATTCAGTGAACACTTTTCTAGGAAGGGACCCGATTATATTTGATACATCCTATTTTTGTAATATTAATTATTCGGATCAAATATACCGACTTAGTAAGAGAAGATTATTAGAGTACTTACTGTTACTAGGGAATCATGTTTTTTTAACCAACTCTTGTCGGCTCCTTGTAGTTCAGACCACGCAAGGCACACTTCTCCGATTGCCAATAATGCGCCATGCCTCGTATGCATGTCGGGGGAAGTGGCTTGAGATATCTTGAAAATCAAAATATGCCATGATAAGTATGTGCAAAGGAATAATGTCTCTTGAGAAGTGAACACACCAAACGTGGAAGAACTCTGTCGACGATATAACCGAGGTCGAGACGCGTTAAATTGTGCAAGGCCTTTGATCCCAAAACTCGCATGTTTTTATCCCAATTCGATATTGTAATGGTACTGAGATGATCAATAATATGGTATCTGTACTCTACAAATCTAAAAGAAAGGACACAAATATATCATTTAAAAGACACGGGATCCGAAGGAATTTCAACGAGGAGAAAAGAGGTGCATACTCGGCGATTTTTACGCTTATTTCGAGGAACGCATTTACCCTGTTGCCCACAGTAAAGTAATCAGCCGTGGTGACGATCTCTATGCCATGCGGGAAGATGCCCTAAGTAGCAATAAAAACGAATGGTAATGTCTAAAAGGACTTTTCAAAAAAGTAAAAATAAAAATGCATATAGGAAATCTACTAACCAACCTCCCGACGTTTTCTTGGAATGCTGCACTGCTGGCACGCCTGACATTAACTTCACGATCAAACAAAGAAACGACGACGAGACTGTTTGCTATTTCTGCTACGTGCGGTGCAAGATCTTCGGGGGCATAAGCCCGAGCAAATGACCAACACACGTAACACATTGCATCTCGAACGTGAGTTCCAATTGAATGAGACCCGCGTTTCAGGTCAAACTTCAATGCCTACAGAGATAAAATCGTAATTTTAGTATTCAAACGAAGAGAAAAAAAGAGGACGATAAGTATTTAAAGATTCTTACCCTGCTAACCCACGGAATAACCTCTGTCAACCTCTCAGGCAATAACAAACCTCTTCTGGCCAATTCAGCAACAGCAAGACACACTCCATGCCAGGTATTGTCGGACACTGCTGATAATTCGAGCACACCATCACGCACGTAAGTATTTTCCGAGAACAATTCAAGCAGAGATCCTATGATGTCATCAGCAAGTTCTTGCGGTAGTCGCTGTGCAATACGACCTAAACCCTTTGCAGCAGACCAGCGTACCACTGTATCCTGTTATAACACGAATAAAGCAGAACAAAATGTGAATGCATTCTCGAATCGATTCTTCGAACTCTTAGATGACATGATCAAACTACCTTATTCCTTAACCCATTCAATAATATTTCAATTATCTCTTCAATCTGTTCAGGGACTTCTTCTTCATCCTCGACATCTTCTTTCAAAGATTCTTGAATGTTTGAAGGGTCAATTCTTTCGGTCTTTGATGTTCCCCCCAAATTATCCTTGAGTGATCGGTTTCCTGAGATCAAAACGGTATTTGATAAATGACAGCCCATGATGATTTTTTATATATGCGCATACATATGTCAAAAGCATCGTACCTCTTTTATACCTCCAGGAGGCGACCTTCGGCCTCAGATAGCATAACCCGAATCTTTGAGCCAACTTGACCAACATCTTCCTCACAAGGGTATTTTTGGAAAATGTTCCATCATCCTCAAGTAAGAAAAGGCAGGACCACGCGATGTCCAATGTTGGCAGTAAGGTCTGTCTTTGCCCTAGTTTGTATATGGCGCAGAGGGATGTAAGAATACCTGTGATCTAAAGTATTGCCAATTATGTAACTTAGAAACGATTGCTCCAAAGATGAATAGTAACAACAACAGCAATAATAATAATAATAATAATAATAATAATAATAATAATAATAATAATAATTGTGATGATAGCAATGGATGACCAACTAATTAAATAGTCAACCAAATAATATCCTGATCCCATACCGTGAATACATCCTTATTATTTCTAGCTGCTTCTTGCGCCCATTGAATGTAATCGGCGAGATATATTTCGGCTATATCCCGCCTTCAATTAAAACACTATCGTTTAATACACCAAATCATTTGCCGAAGAAAACTTTGTTGTCTCATAAATGCAACCAATCGTCTTCCTGACCTTGTCAACAGTCGCGATAGAAAGACCGCCGCACCATCCCTTTCTTTACCAGTTACTTTCAAGTAAAATTTTGCCAGATCAATCATGTGATCCACCAGAGGAAACTGTAGATCAAAAAATATTATCTTAACTCCTTCCTATACCACGCGAGATAGCCATGAAGGAACCGATCCAAGACCCTCACCTTATTTCCCCCCGCAACAGCCAGACTGTCCACGGTTTTCAAATCGAATGGTATCATGCAAATAAGCGACAGCCATATCAACAGGACATATCTAGTCTCCCACCCGGTGTAATCATTGGGATCCAAGGCAACGAGGAAGTAAAAAGTTGGTTCTAGATCTGAAACTTCGTGGGAAAAAAACTTCACTGTTGAAATTGTTCGGGCACAAAATTTCAGAGAGGAATGAATGGTGAGAAGTTCGAAAAGAAATGGATCATAAAATTTTCGCCAGCGCATAATTAATTACCAACAGTTTTGAATCCACGAATCTTCATGATGTAATACATGAGTATGAACAATCTTTTCACTTTTCCTGGGACCTGAACTTTGTAATCCGTGATGTTTTTCGAGATCGTCAGTTCGTGAACATTGGCCGATTTTATGTAGACACGAAGTAATTCCATCATGGGCTTAACCATATTTTCCAGATGCGGGTCAAGAAGAAATGGTTGTTCTTGGTATGGATCAATCTGCATGGGTTTGCGGGAAGTGGGATATATGCGCAGGCACGCATAAAAAATTGTTAGATGACCAGCGCCAACTTTTTCGAAAGAATCGATCGAATGATTAGCCTTGAGGATTTTACCAAAGAAATCAATTTTCTTAAATTCCTCTCTTGTTCAACATCCTGCTTTTCGTCCAATTGTACAGAATCATCGGCCGATTTTAGCAAAATAGGCAACAAAGAAAAAAATTCCGATGCTTTTTCGAAATGGGATGATTCTTTCACACAGGTTTCATCCTCGAAACTATCATTTTTTTCTAAAATCTCATATTCCATCTGCATCTTTCAAACTTATGATTAACGACGACGTAAACACGACGTAAACGGGAGAAATTTTTTGTGCGGAATGATTGGCGGTTTGCATATCATATGGGTTTTTTGGGACCGTAGGGTACCACAGTGCTGTAATTATTTTTTTACATTATTATGTGCAGTGCGTGGAGCATATAATTTTACTTGTTACCAAATAGAAAGTTAAACCTAATAGCATTAGGCATGTCATGTGTGAGAGTGTCCACGAGTTTATCTTCAAACGTTTGGTGACAAAGACAAGTTACTGGTTACTTAAACTGTTGATTTAATTTTTTGAATAAATTAATTATATGAAGATTTCATACAGCACAATGATTTCTTTTGTCGCAACCGCCAACTTTCTTATTCATTAGGGATGATTTCATCATACCAATTAGATCCCACCTTTGCTATTTATAACGACACGAGAATGTTGATTAACAGATTCTCCTTTTTGGCGTGACTCACACGCAATGTTAATCGGAAAATTGATCGAATGGTTTCTATTTCATGATGCAATGTCATCAGTGCGCGCAAATATGGCGATGCAATAAAGTCGTGAACGAAAAGATTTACTTTTTAAATGGCACCCATTGATTGGTTTAGCGTTTCCTTTAAACGATTAATTCTATTTAGATGTATGTGCGATGTTCTATGGGCGCGGCGCGTTTTATCATTATCATTTAAACATTTGGATTTTACCGGGGTCATTATAAGAGAAAGTGATCGAGAAAAATTCAATTAAAAAAAAGTATTTAAGAATGTATGCACACCGCAACGCTCTCTTTTAGCCTTGAAAGATCCAAACATGAGTAAAATAATAAAGGTCATATTCTTCCTGATTTACATTTTGTTTTTCTCCGTTAACAACGTTTTCTGTGAGATTCTACAACCGTGGGCAGGTAAGGTGAAAAGAAGAGAAGTTTCTTTCTTTCCCTTTTCCGAATCACGACCCTCACATTTACTCTCACAGAAACCGTTTGGACCGTTGGCACAAAAGTAGAAATTTTATGGTCCGACAAAGATTTCGGAGGTGTTAAGACCGCAGACATTTATCTTCTTGAAGATCTTGGCGGGAAAGAATTGAAACGAGTTTTAACAGTTGCCAAGAATGTGAAATTGTCTCATGGTAGTTGCACATTAAATTTGCCGTCGGATTTTAAGGCCGGAAGTTATGCAGTGGTGAGTTCTTTTTTTTTTCTTGCATTTCCGTGAGAAGCGATTTTAATTTTCGTTCATCTTTATCGAACGTGCGTTTTATTCAGACCATCACTGATAACATAAAGCTCTTCAAATACTCTCATCCGTTTAAAATTGTGCACGCTTGAGCTTCGCTTCGACCTTGATAATTATTTCTTACTTGGCATTCTATATTCGACACACCTTTTTTTTTTTTTTTTTTACTGTGTTCCGCTCACCTTGAGCCATGTCGAATTGTAATCTAATAAATCAATCCACAATAAACAAAAAATAAACGCATCTCTTAAATACCTTTATTTCGACCGACCAATTGATTATTTTACATAATACTATTACTTAAAGAGTCGTGTGGATCCTAATGTGTGATTAAAGCTAAGGTGGAGAATTAAATTATTGTAAAAACCCCCGTGGCAATCAAGTTTCTACCCTCTTCAAACATTTATAACTAATAAAGAAGATAAAGATATACTGTATGTGGAATCTAGCAATATTCGTCCAAAAAAAAATATCTAAAAAAAAAAAGAGTGATAAAACATAAAACCGATGAAATAAATTTACAATTTACTATAGCCATTGTCAAAATGAATTATTCTAATAAACTCCTTCACCACGTTCTAATCCCGCCCAGCAAACAATCCCTCATTCATTCCACCCACGTCTTGGTCAACTCCTGTATCAACATCACGATACCATTAGTCATCAATCCCGCCGCCTTCCTTGCCACCTCCGCGTACAACCATCCAATTATCGGCATCGACTCTACCAAATCCTTTAGGCTCCACACATCCTCGTGCCTTACGACCTTATTTTGTTCGTTAAACTCCAGCTTCGTGATGATCCTCAAGCTAATTTCGTTGTTAATACTCCAGAGTCTACAATTACTCGCGCGAAAAAATGGTATAAAGTTGGGAATAGACGGTAGGCGTAGGGGTAGACGGTACCTGACCACGGAATCGACAAAGACGATGTGATGATTTCCGGCTATTGGACAGTCGGTGACACTGTGGATTTCAGGCGTGATGTCGAAGAAGGCGGACACCAGCGTGAAAAGATTGGTAATCTCGGAGTGGGACTCCACCACCAGGAGTGGATTCTCATATACTATCACGCATAGAGTAGTTTTGAATTAGAATGAGACACGCTGATTATTATGCCCATTATTATACTTATTTTAATAAAAAAATCATGATAATCGCACCCGCAAGCACATCATCGTGGTGATTTGTGTTATTACGTATCACAATTTGCATCATATATAATAGTAAGTAGTATAATACATACCGGCGTGAGCATCAAAATATGTCCGTATCACATGTTTATGAATGTTCTGTCTCGAATATAATCCCGAGTGAACTAACCTTGCGATACAACTGTGACTACCCGAACTTATGTGAATGATGTTCGACGAGGGGAGGGGTTCAATAATAGGAGTGCTCATCCCGGAATGTATCATGAGTGAAGAATAATATTGGATGATTGAGGGATTCGTTTACCAAAATTCAAAGGTGTATTGTTGCTCGGGAGGGTTGATGTTTGAAGGAGTCGAAAAACTTTTCCTTAGGGACCATGGCCAGGCTTATATATACGGTGTAAAGGTTAAGGGGCAAAAACCATCATCTGATATTTTGATGGTCCGTTAGGAATTGGCATGCAAATTTAATGATAATGCTATCTGCAGAATAGATGAAGATGTAAGGAATAAAATTAGATAACTGGATGCGTTCAACAATGATAATAATTCGGGGATTCTCTCGTCACAGAAACCATTGTTTCATGATAAGAGCCATTTAAGATTCGTTCATTTACCGAGTTAATTTGCTTTTTTAAAAAAAAAAAAAAAAAATTGGGGAGTTTTTCTTCTTTTTTAAAAAAAAAAAAAAAAAAAAAAAAAGTTTTTTTTTTTTCCGATGTCGTCAACCGAAAGGTGTTACATAAACGAACTCGACTGCAAGCAATCTATTGGGGGATCAAGACCCCCGTGGTTCTCGTCAATAAAGCAATTCAAGAGCTCATACTAGAAACCAATTCAACAACAGGTCATGTGATCTGATCCGGAGCTCTTTTAATTTTAGAAATATTGTATGCAATCTGGGTAAAAGACACTGTATACGGTATGACGCAAATTTGGTTACATTATTATAATAATAAATTATTAATGTTAATTATTATCTTGTTATTTTATACGTATAAAATATTCATGTTATCATAAAAAAAAAATTTTTATAATTATATTATATCAATAAATAATCACGTAAAAAATTTATAATTCATTATTATTATTATTATGAAAAAAAAAAACAAAATTAAATATCGAGTATTTAAAAGTTCAAAAGATTATTTCACTAAAAATAATATATTAAAATCAACTCTCCCTCTCCCTTCTCATCTTTTTCATACATGGTTGTAGTTGCTTCAACCTCTAATTTTGGAAAGGATAATTTAATTCGATTTTTCAGCGCGACTTTTGCGATCCGTCCTCGTTCGCTTCATCCAATCTCGCTCGATTAAATCAAAATTGGCTTAAAATGTCGGAACATTATATAAATATGTATTCAGTCCACCGCAACTAGATGTCAACGACCTTGATTTCGTGTATCTAGTTGCGTCCGGAATATGACTTTGATATAAACTACATTCCCCATCCCCCTCTTTTGACAGTATCTTTCACTGCCTCCGACTTGCTCGTTTCTATTTTAAGGAAAGTCGGGTCGCCGAAAATAACAGAGTCCATAATTCCAAACCATAGGGATGGGCAAGTATCAACGTAATTAATAAAAGCATCCATGCAAGAACGCGTTCGATCTTCCAGGCGTCAAGCCTGGGCATAATCGTATACAGGATGCCCAGGTAAAAAAAAAATCCAAGGATCAAGAAATTCGTCGCTGCTCATCACCATTGAAAGTGTTCTTGATTGAAGCAGTTCATTTTTTAAAAAAAAAATTTGACATTAGTGATATCCTCCCTGATACTGTCACGCATTCTATTTCAAAATATGGACTAAGCATAAAATTTTTTTGTCAGTAAACATGATGCTACTTTGAAAATTTAGATTTAACTTGAAAATAAATAATAAAAAAAAAAAAAAGATTATTTTCGCGTTTTCCCGTGTCTATTTATTACCCACAATTCGAATGTACGCACGCATTTTTATTTGATTCTACTAGTGAATTAAAGAACATGTGATGACACATACATGATACCGCTGCCTGCATATGAAGAACAAAGATCGTACACTTTGAATTTCAAATTCTCGCGGCAACTTTCCATAATGGAACGGTCTCATCCGCAGCCGATTCTTCCCCGTACACTAAAACCTTGGTATCGTTTAAAACCCCGCACCATCGATACAATGACAACATATCCAGATAAACATCCGAATTCAGATAACCGACAACTTCAAGAGAAATTGGTTTCGCATTTTTCCTCTTCCTGACCTTTAGAAATTCTTCGAAGGCGTCTCCTTTTTCAACCAACCAACGATCCTCAAGCTTCAACTTGCTTAGACGTGGCATTTCGGTACGTTTCAGAATATTAAAGAGGGCATGTTCGTCTGAATGCATATCAGTACACCGCAAATAAAGACCTTCTAGTTCACGGCATTTGTTCAATAGAGTCTCCAGCCCCTCCAAATCATCATCCATCCAAATTGTGAGGAATTTAAGTTTGGGACAGCGTTTACCTAAAATTGTTAAGGGAAGTCCGGGATCGTTTGGACCATTCGGACACCACCCACTGACGTGCAATTTCCGAAGGTTTCCATTAGTATTAAGGATCAAAGGTTCCAGAATTTCTGATCGCACAGCATTCCCATCCACAATTAGAGTCTCCAGATTTGAAATTCTCGCTCTTTTAAAATGTCCAATGATAATTTCCGATACTTCCGATTTAAGTCCGAATCTTAGGTAGCGTAAATTGGTAAAGTCCGGAATGAATTTTAATGGGATACAGCTACGCCTTCCGAGATCAAGTTTCAACAAAGAGTGTGCTTGTGTTTTCAGGGCAATGCCGAGCGATCGACAACATTGTTCCTCGCCGCTGCTAATGAGTTTGCATTGAAAATACTTTAACTCTTTTTGAACTCGAACCAGGGAATTCACGCCGTCGTGATCTCCGGTACAAAACTCAATCGTGATGTCCTTAATATTATGACAGAATTGTGCCAAACCGTACAGGGTCATTGGTGACACGTAGGAACTATATCTGAGTATCGTTAGAGATGCCAAAGACGATCTTGCTCCATGGAGGTAATAATATAAAGAATGTTCCTCTGACATGAGTGAAAGTTGGAAGATTCGGGTACTTTTTTCCAGAAACAGCTTATAGACCTCTTGAGTAACCAGAAATATTTTATAACTATGAGAAAAGCCATTCGTGAATCTCTGGTTCATCGCGCTCAAAATAAGCACAGAAACGTCCGCGGTACTTATATATCGGCAATAGCTCGCGTAATCAAATCGTGGTTGTCGAAAGACTTCATCCGACAACTCATACCCATTCTTAAACAAAAGGTCTTTCGACTCACTGGAAAGGCATTGCAATAATGTTCTGAGAAGGTAGGATAGGTTTTTCTTTGTGTGCAGTATTTGATTGTATCCGTGCTGCATCATAATGGACAACTCATTCCTATTTTTTTTGTACAGATCTTTCAACGGGTTTCTCCATAAGATGGGCACGACGACTTCGCACCAGGAATGGTTCACCAGGAGGCAATTGAACAGCGTCACATTTTCATCCCATAAATTTTCAAAAATTTCAGAGAGAACATCCAAAGGGAATTCGGATACCATGTTAAAAGTTGAGATCTAGGCAATTTTATGAAGGAACTCACTCAAAATCATTTTAAATTTCAAGAGGCAGAAGCTATCTCCCCAAGCTATCAACTTCATCAAGTCAAGTCTCACGACATTAGAAACAATGATAGTCAACAAATGTGTCATCAGATTTCTTAATTTTCGAGGCAATCGAGGTTAAATTGGTTTTTGATAACAGAACATTTGATAATTGGAAGCCTAAAATTTATAATTTTATATCATCATTGGCATCTGACTTAAATAGAGTGAAATTATATACAGTATATGTATTGGCATTTGGTTTAAATAGAGGATCACCTAATACAGCAAAATAATTTATTTAAAATTATATTTTTAAGATACGATCGTCGTGATCCTCCGATATAATGTATAAATACGTGGTACATATGTAAAAAGCATTTCAATTTGAATTTCGAGATGACAACAATACCAACAATCGATTTCGCGTTATTTGACCACGATCCGACCACCTGCTCAAAACAGATTAAAGAAGCGAGCGAAGTAATCGGGTTCTTTTACCTGAAGAATCACGGGATTAGGCAAGAATTAATCGATGAGGTGTTCGAGAATGTAAGCACGCTTTCCTCGATTGCCATTTCATTTTATCTTTCTGATCGTTTTTACAAGAATTAATATATATCGTCTCGCGATTATTTGATATCGATAAAGTCAAAGAATTTTTTCAACCTTCCTCACAATGAAAAACTAAGATACAACATAACAAGAGAGAATAAAGGATATTCTTCTATACGTCAGGAGAAACTTGATCAAAAGACTTATGATCTCAAAGAGTATGCACTAATTATCACCATTGTTACGATAACTCTATCTGAATCTATTTCTCTGCTTCAAGCTATTCATTACTCATTGACACTTCCTTCCATACTTGCCTACTTTCATCAAAAAAAAAAAAAATTTTTTTTTTTTTTTTTTTTTTTACTTAGAGCGTTCAATTTTGGAAAATTCTACGAGGGAAAAACGAGTCAAGAACTTCCCCAACTCTTTAACGATAATAGAAAGACCTTGGCGTCATTTTCAAAAGTAACGCTTCTTCCTAAAATGATTTTATAAATTTTACTTACAAATCAAGCATTTTGATTGTTTCTCCTTTGTTCCAAATTCTCGATTGACAGGCTTGTCACACTTTATGCATGAAAGTCCTGCAATTATTTGCTATAGCTCTAGAGATCCCGGATTCCGAGGGTGGTAAATCATGGTTCGAGAATAGGCACAGATATGAAACGCCATCAGGCGATATTCTCAGAATTCTTCATTATCCCGCTATGAAAAATGATGAAATTGGCAAGGATGAAATTAGGGCGGGGAGGTTGTGGTCAATTTAATATTGTCGTGATATAAACATTGAAACTTAGTTGCCATCAAATTTTATTCATTTTATTTATCTATTCACTAATCTCATATGTATATGTAGTCACTCGGACTATGGCTCCTTAACAATTCTATTTCAGAAGGATGTTGGAGGACTGGAACTTCTGTCCAACACAACAGACCCTCCTCTCTGGACCCCGGCACCTATTATTCCAAACCATGTGTTAATAAATATAGGTGACTTGCTTGAATTCTGGAGTAAAGGGTTATTCAAATCAACGATACACCGCGTAGTATTTCGAACCAATGAAACCTCGGCTGACGAAACCTCCTTTAACGACGAAAGACAAAAGGCTAGTGATTTGGATTACCAGGATAGATATAGCATCGCATATTTTTGTCACGCGGAGGATGATGTCAAAATAGATCCGATTCCAAGTAAAATTATTAACGAACGGGATGAGAATGTTTCTAGAATATTAGATAAAATTGGGCACAAGGAAAATGCAAAATTGGATGTTCATAAAGTGATAACCGCCGGCGAATATTTGAAGTGCCGATTAGATGCTAGTTATAAATACTGACGTCTGTGTGTGGAACCATGTTGGTTGGACATTTCAATCAAATTGATCAAATTAAAAAGATTCAGGAGTGACATGTGTGTAGTGTAGTATTGATAGTCGGGAGAGAAGAGACACGCTAGAATTATTGACTGGCAGCAGAGAACCTGTATAATGAGGAGCACAACACAGAAATTGGTGTCACATTACTCTTTCGAAAATTTTCACCATAGTTTGAACAAGAAAGAAATCAATGAAGCAAGTGTTAGTAGCGAAGATCGAGGAATTTCCATGTCAAATTGATTGTTATAAACGTACAATACATTTCCGAAACATACAGTATAAATAATAGGAGTTGTTACTTTAATTCTAGTCAGGTTTATTGATCAACTTGTTTAGAATATACTGTAACTTTTTTTAATGAGATGATTTTAAAAGTAATTTTTAGAATAATTTATGCTCTCCAAGCAACGGCATCTTTATAGTCCATAAAGCTACAGTATTTATAATCTATTTCTGGAAATTATTAACGAAATGTCAGTTAAAGACTTATATTTAATCATATCATCACTTTATTTTTTGTAGAATTAATATAATTTTTACGAACATTTACATCGTGGATTCAGATTATATACTGTATATACAGTAAAAGGAACATTGGTCAAATCAAAAAATTTTATTCGATTACAATAATAAATTGGTTTTCTCTTTCTAATTATACATTTCTTGTTATCAAATTTTTTTATCTTTCTTAAGTATTGATTTTATTAACCTAAAATATTTAACAACATATGTCAAAATATAATAATATAATTTGTAGACTAATATAAAAAAATATTTAGTTTTCTTAATTTAATTTGCAATTATGTAATTATAATTCATTCTTATTAAGTAATAAAACCAATTCAATATTATATTGATCTATTATACAATAACTTATTTGTCTTTACTTATTACAGTATTAGTCAAGAAATTAAACTACTATATATAAAAAATGTATAAAAGTTTATTGGTCTACTTAAAATTAATCAAAATCAAGTTTAAATAAAATATTTCAAATTCAATTTAAGATTATTATTTTTTATTTTAAATACAATGTTATATAATTAAACTATTATCATTAACAACAAAAAAAACTCTTTCTACTGATTCCCTTTTTTAAAAAATTTTTTCTTTTTTAATAATTTTTTTGTAAAAGAGAAGCAACTTAAAAAACTCTTTATTTCTTCAAAATCTAAAACTTAACAATAAATTATAATAATCAACCACTTTTCAAAAGATTCCTTATTGATTAAAAGAAGTATAGATAGCATAGTATCATTTTAACTTTATTTTATAAGGAAAAAAACATATCTAAAAATTAATTCTCAATAAGTTTAGAAGAGCTCAATATCAACACCTCAAGTTTTTAATCAGGGCATTTCAATTTATACCTTTCTAGGCATTAGAAGAAACTTTATAAACAGTAGTTCTTACTAATAAATTATGAAAAACTTAAAGTTTACAAAGATCAAAAAAACATTAAAAGCTTTTAACAATTAAACAGTAAAATATTTTAATTTCATACATATCTGATTAAATAATAAAACAAGTTATGCAAACATATATATATTAACTAGTATAGTATCAAAACAATATAATAAGATTCACCAAGAGTTTATAAACAAAATAGATTATTCTATTATAACAAAAAAAATCAATAACAAATTCAGTAAATAAATAGAATTAAATAGGAAAAATCAATAACCAATTTAAATAAACAAAAACTAAACAAAATAATAAATTGTTAATCCTACAAACCTTACTAAATATAAACAAACAAAAAGTAAACAAAACAATAAATTAGTAATTTATTTTCTTTTACATATGATCAATATGATAAATAAATAAAAAATTATGTAAATTTCAAAAAAAAAAACTTCGTATCCTCAATATAACAGTTCAAATAACTGAAAAGTATAATCAAAGAAAATAAACATAAGCTATCCAAATCATCTTTGATATTCTTATCACATAAGATAAGTTCAAATAGATATTATATTAATTGAAAAATATTTATTCAGAATAATGTCACTTGTATAATATTCAACAAAAAAATAATTATAGTAATTCAGTATATTAATAATATAAATAAATTGTCAATCAATTTCTACTATATAATTTAGTATAAATAAATCATCAATTAATTTTTACTATATAATTTAGCATTGTTTGCTATATAATTTGTATTATTTTTATTATATATTTCATTAAAAATTTTCTTAAAAAATTATTAAACATTTATCAAAACTTCAATTTTGTCAAAATTCATATATTTAATGAATTTTTAATTATATATTATATTTATAATTTAAAAGAATTATAATTAAATATCAAATAGATCCCTTTTGAAAAGAGTAAAAAACTATTGCAATAATTCTAGTAAATAGAGATCATTACCAATTTATCAGAAAAGTGTAATATTGTTCTTAAAATCTGACTCAGAATACTTATACATAAAAACAAGTTAGTTACTTTGTGAAAGTCTATAAACTATTATAGATTTTGTTTTAATTTTTCAATAAAGAAAAGCTATTGGACATAATTGCAAGTTAAAAAAAAAAAATTACAACTAAATATTTGTGAGTCTTACTAATTTAAGATTGTATTTTTAAATAAAATAAATCAGTTAAAAATATTATAAATAGGGATCATATATTTACATCTAACTGGATAAATTTTGATACTTCACAATTCAATATTCATATCATTTTAGATCTAAAATAAAATCTATTTTCTGCTAAATTAACCAGTTTGTACTACTAAATAAAAACCAATCAATATTCAATAACATTATTTAAAAAGTTTACTGAATATATAAAGAAGAATTTATTTATTCCAAATATAAATTGATATTTCTATCATGATTTATGAATTGAGCTAATATAAATAAGCCCTTAATATTTTATAAGAATATAATAAAATTAAATATTTTACTCTCAATTTAATATCTATTATATTGATTTGCTCTATTTTAAATAATTATCAATTTTTATTATCTTTTGTAAATAACCTTCAAAAGTTCATAATTTCATAAGATACTTTATAATATTTGACTAATAAATCTAATATTTTAATAGTATCTCTAAATTTTGTTTTTTTTGAATACAAGAGTTCACCTGAAAAATATTCAAATTCATTGATAATTGTTTTGTAAATATTATATATGTTATTTAAAAATCAATATAACTTGTCAGATAAAAATTGATCTAGTTTAGAAATTGAGTTGATATTTGATCAATTATTTAAAATTTCAAGTCCTTGATTAATAGGATAGAATATAGTTAAATTAATAATTTAATAATTATTCATCTATCTTTGCATTAATTAAGGTTCAATATTTTGATGACTATTAGGTAATGAACCTAGATTAAAAATTCATTAGAATTCTATTTCCAAATATTAAATTTGTTAAAAAATTTATCTAATATACTATTCATTTTTTCAAATAAAAAGTATCAAAATGTACACAATGGTTTATAATCATATATATATTCATATAAATATAATGAAAAATAAAGATTCAAAGTAATTTTTTTTTCTCATTTTTGTTTTATTAATTTAATTATTGTAACTAATCTTTCATAAGTCTTATTTAACAAATTTTGTCTTAAAATTCAGTATACTAAGATTTGACAAATTTTGATAAAATTTATTAAAATTTGATTATTTACATTAGAAAATAT